GAGTACAAGAAAGGGCACAGACCACAAAGGGGGGCATGAGTACAAGAAAGGGCACAGACCACAAAGGGGGGCGGGAGTACGAGAGATGGCACAGACCATGATGGGGGGTGGGAGTGCAGGAGAGGGCACAAACCACGAAGGGGGGCAGGAGTATGAGAGAACAGGACAGAGTCGAGTATTTAATGGGCAACCACACGACAGAAATGTGGCAGGACAGATGTTCAGAGGAACGAGGTCAAACCCTGGATGTCAGGCAGGTATTTCTGGTACTGGTCCACCTCGCTGCTGTACACCGTGAAGGCCAGTCTCTTCATCAGCATGGCCCTCTGCTCCAGCTCGGCATCGCGGTTGGAGAACAAGTTCAGAGAACTGCTCTGGGCCACGGCCACACGCGCTGTATGCACACATATTCACAGACGGCCTGTTAACACCATGATTTATGACACTTGTGCTGACTGAACACGGCAAGGCACGCGGGCTCAGGGCAGTCGGCACGGTACTGACTCATTAGGTCTCGGAACGTGGTTTTGTCGTGGGTCATCAGGTGATCGATGATGGCTCTCCAGCTGAAAGACAAAAGGTCAAAAGGTCACAACCTCGGGGCTGGAGGATCGGGGCCACGGGCGAGGTGGGTGCTGGGGCGGAAAGGAGGCCGCACTCACTGGCTGACACAGGAGGGATCCATCTGGAAGAAGGTGTGGTCCATAAAGAGGTCGAAGGCCTCCTTCTTCCAGGCGCGCCGAGTGTACTGGTAGCCGCTGAGGCTACTCAGAAGCTGGATGCAGGCCCGGTAGCTGGGTGCGTTGTGGGCACTGGACTCACAAACAAGCAGGTGCGTCAGTCACGGGCCCGGGTTTGACGCAGCAGCGGGCAGACAGTCGGGGCGCATGGCTTACCTGTGGTTACGCAGGTAGGGCACGACGTAATGCATGAGGTTGACCAGCAGGGGGATCACTCTCTCCTTCTCGTCACTGTAAAAGACCATGTCGAGGAGATGGGCCAGGACCTGCGGCGGCACAGAGTGCAGTGTAAGAGGGTGAGCTGCAGGGGGGCGTGTCCGTGGGTGGGGTTTCATAAGGGGGCGGGGATACCTCAGCCAGCAGAGTGAGGGCATGGACACTGTACACAGAGGGAGTGAAGTTAGAGGTTTCCATCACAGTCAGCATCAGATCTGAAAGACACACACAGGACCATCAGATACTGATACACACACAGTTTTATATTCATATCTTTTGGTGAGGACTGTCCATTCATGTATATGGGCATAACCCTAGTCCTAAATATGACGACCGTAACCCCTACCCAGCCCTAACCTTAACCATAAGTAACCAAACAAACAAAGACTTGTGGCATTTTGTAGTTTTTTGATCAGATCGGAATATGTTAAGGACCCACACGGACAGGGAAACGTTAGGGAAACACACTCATACCTTCCACGTCCGCTTCCAGGCTGGCACCATCCACCACGATCTGTGGCGAGGCCTTCACCTCCAGGTTCCTCCTCAGCCAGGTGGTCTGCTCCAGCGAGGAGCCGGCGATAGTGCCGACCGCCTCCACAATCTTGTGGGTCACGTCCTGCCCGGACACACAAGGGTGAGCCATCCGGGTTTACTGCACGGCATTCTGGGAGCTCCAGCTTCAGATTACCGTGATGGGGGCGACGCGGCTCCGGTCTCACCTGAAGCTCACGCTGGTCCTTCTTGTTCTCCAGGTTTGGGTTCTTCAGGATGAACTCATTCAAAACCCTGCAAGTCAGACATACAGCAACATGAACCGTACGGAGGCTTCTACACACCATGTGAAAATCACAGCTACAAACCCTTGGTTACGTCCTTTGTTGTGGTTCCTGAATTGCTGTTTCCTGATTTGCTAAATACCCTGCTGCCCACATCCCACCCCCCCCAACCCTGGCATTGGTCACTTTAACTCATTTATCTATTTATTGTTAGTTTTTACCCACTACATTTATTCCACAGCGCTGCACTGCTGCCATCTAACCTCTTGTTTACCTATGTACTCACACGCTACACTGCACGTGTATAGAAACCCTCATGCACTGCCTCCCTATTTGTGTACTTTAAGTCTTGTGAAATCCCTCCCTGTTTTTGCTGTATTTTCTGAGCCCACTAGATGTTGCTCTCTGTTCATAGAAGGGCTCACATTATGCCCCAAAGTAAACAGCACCATCTAGTGGAGTCAAAAAATACAGCAAATGGTTCATGAAGCTTAATTTACCCATTACTAGTTATTTCCTGCCATTGTTTACTTGTATGTGGATGGTATGACAATAAAGGCCACTTGGTTTGGCTGGAATATATGTCTCCATCATGGAAGATAGTGCTACACAAATCAGGAGAGTTACGGAATGTGTGGGGGGGCGGGGGGCGCAAGGGGCACACCACATACCCCAGAATGAGGAACTGTCCTGGGGAGGGGAGGCCCAGCTGGATGGAGTCTTTCAGCAGGGCCAACAGAGAAGGCCAGCTGTCCACCAGGCTGGACACAGGGATTCTGCAGGCCGGGAGTGAAAAGGGACTCCCATTTGATTGGTTCAGGCACACATTTGGGCACAGCGCCTAGCCAATCCCGTGCTGTACGGAGAATAAAAGGGCATGTCCCCGGACAGCCGTGCTCACCTCTGCACGTAGGCATAGAAGAACTGCAGCATGCAGACCTCCAGCGACAGGTGCTTCTGGGGAAGGAATGGGCAGTGGAGAGACAAGAGACATCTTCTGCATTAGCATGCAGGAAGTACCGTATGGCTGCCGATAACGTTACAGTTATCTGTCCTGAAGGTGGCAGCAATGTCAGTTTAATTAACCATGTTTCCCCTCCAAGGGACACAGGGACTCAATAAGGCTGAGTGTGTCTGCCACACAAGCTGCCTCCAGCAGATAGGAAGCTGAAACTTATTGGTTAGTGCAGGTGGCTATGCGGCTCCTCTGATTGGCTCAGAACTTTTGAAAAAGAAAGTCGATTGGCAGGGGCGTTACCTGCCTGGTGGTGCAGCATATACTGTAACAAATACACAGGAACTGTGTGCCAAATATAGGAATAAAGGAGCAGTATTGTGGTCTGATACAAGGGGATCTCTCCTGCTTAATGCAGTGCCAGGGATGAACCCATCGACGTCTTACCTTCTCTTTGGCGATGGCAGGGGGCTGTTTCAGGACATCCTTGACCGTCTGCATGACGGTCTCCGTGCGCATGGCGCTGACCGACCGCACCAACTCCACAAGGATTAGCTGCTCCTCACTCGGCGTGGGGATCACCTGCATGAGAAGAGCAAGCGCTCGGCGAACAGAGACACGAACGAGTGGACGGGACTCTTCCATGAAGGCAATCGTGACTGTGCCATCTCGGCACACGGAGAACAGCTCGTTATTTTGATGGTCCAAACTCACCTTATTTCGGGCCGGACTCTTCCCCGCCTTCCTCTCGTTCCAGACGTAGGCGATGGCGGCCATGAAGTGCGGCCCGTGGTTCATGGAGATGGGGCCCAGGAGCTCCAGGATCTGCTGCCGCAGGTTCTGCGAGGACGGGGCGGGGTGGGGTGGGGGTGTCAGACCCGGCGGGGCAGGACAGATGCAGGGAGGACATACGGGACCCCGCGGGACAGGGCTCTGGGGGAACGGCCGGGCCACACCTTGGTGGAGCCCAGGTTGATGTTGGACAGGCAGGAGGCAGAGGCGCCGGCAGGGCGCTCGGAGCTGTCGGCCAGGTAGAGGACGCTCCAGAGCAGCGTGACGGAGGACATGATGGTGTGCAGGATGGAGAGGATGCCGGAGCGCGCCTCCGCCAGCTGCTTCTGATCCACGCCGGCCTGCAGCTGGGTCACATGGGGCAGAGCGAGAAGGGATGGGGGAGTCATTGTCACTTCAGGAACATTTAGAAAAAGAACAGAGAGGGGAGGGTGTCTGGACACAGCCTTAAGCCCCACAAAGTGTGGGGATGATGGGGCGGGGAGCATGTGCCTGTGATCGGAAGGTGGCTGGGTCAAAACCCAGTGCTAGCAGAGTGATGTCGCTGCTGGGCCCATGAGCAAGGTCCTTAGCCTCCATTTCTCCAGGGTCTGACCTTGCATTCTCAAAAAGTAGTACACGGCTTTGGATAAAAGTTAAATAAAACAAATGGGAACCTGAAAACCGCACAGCAATTCCCATATAAACCCATCTCGTCAGTGAGGCCCAGCTTAGTTGTTTTCAGTAAAACACATTGAAACTGAATAACTGAAACTTATTCACGTGTCAATATGAAGAGCAGCGTGGACCCTTACCTGGTGATACTGGGAGGAGGGGTCTAGCAGGCAGTAGTGTATGATGGCAGTCATTCCCTCCAGCATCGTGAGGATGAGGTCGGGTGGAGTGCACAGTGCCATCCACTGGGGCCTGCGATTAACACATGGCAAATGATTAAAGTGGCGCCCTCTGAGGACGGCTTCAAGGTTCACGCCTGTACCCTGCCCGCCTGTCGGTACGGCACCTGGACTCTGAGAGGCCCGTCTCATAGCGGTACTGCTGGATCAGGTTGTCCAGGTTCCGGCAGAGCTGCAGGGTGACGGACGCCACGATGTGTCGCAGCAGACGGCCCATGTACGGCAGGGTGGCCGTGATGAGGCCGATCCACTGCGGGTGCATCTTGCAGGCGTAGTGCTGGTGCAGCGCCCGTATGACAGCGCACAGGAACATGCCCTGTGCTGTGATGGGCTGCCCATGCAGGTACTGCAGCGACGTCGCCGGCTGCTGCGGGCTCACATGCTCCACCTCTCCGAGCAGCTCAAAGCCTGTCCCCGGGCCGGGACCGGGCCCTGGGCCGCTCTCGGTCCCTTCCTCGGCCGGCACCAGCACCCGATGCTCCAGCAACACCAGGCTCTGCAAGAGGCGCAGCAGCTGCGACTGCAGGGCGCTGCACCCGTCAAGTTGGTCCTCTGACAGGTTGATGACACTGTCCTCGGAGAGGCCCTCCTCCACGGCAGCTACGTTGGGCCGGCCCGGGCGCCGCTCGTGGGACTTCTGCGCGCCAAAGATGGAGGACAGCAGGCAGTGCAGCACCACCTTCTGCACCTTGCACTTGGACAGCACGTCGCAAATGAAGCTGGCGAAGCCCTTGGCCGACGCCTCCATGGCCTTGGCGAGTTCGCCGAAGAGCAGTGTCAGCACCTCGATGCTGGTCAGCCGCATGCTGCGGTTGCCCGCCAGGTCTTGCGCTGTGGCCGGCGCATGTGCGCAATAGTAGCTGCGCAGGAAGGACAGGCAGAGGGAGATGATGATCTCAATGAACATGGCGCCGCGGAAGGGGTGTGAGTGCGAGTCCTGCGGAATGGCGCAGTAGAAGTCGCGGCCGGCGACGGAGACGCGGTGGCGTGCCAGGAGGTTCTGCAGCAGCGACAGCTGTGGTGTGTAGGCGTTGTTGACGCTGGTGGTAGAGATGGCGCTCACAAAGGCGCCGGGTGAGGCCCGCAGCATGGCGGCCATGGCGGAGAGGGCGTGCAGGGCTCGCGACGAGTCGTAGGGCTGCAGGTAGAGCAGCACATGCTGGTAGAGTGGGTGCACATTCAGGCGCGCCAGGGGGGTTGCCGGCATGGCACCGCCATCACCGGGAGAACCCGCATCGCTCTCAATTTCGGACACCTCGCCCTCGCCGCAGCTGTACCAGTTCTCCAGGTCCAGGCTCTCACCAAAGAAGATCCCAGCCTGCCCAGCGCGCTCCGCCGATGCCTGCCCCCCCCGCTCATCCTTCCTCTTGGCCTTCTTGATCTTGGGCTTGGCACCGGGTGAGCGGTCACCCAGTCGTTCCAGGATGCGGCCTTTCAAGTTGAGCTGTGTGCTGCTGTGACTCCGCCTTCGCACTGTTGGGCCCACCGGGGGGCGCCGCTCGCCCGCAGAGTCCGCCAGCGTCACAATAGAGGGGGACGAGCTGTGGCGGGTCATGCTCCCATGCGGTTCCTCATCCCCGGTGTCGGAGGTCGTGGACAGGAGGTCAGGGTTCCTGCCTGCCTCCATTCTGTTGAGTTGGGGGTGCTTTTGGTCTGGCAGGCAGCTGGATGAGTCCAAGGAGTCGGTGCTGTCCGAGCTGGACTGCGGCCACACTTCTAGTGCTGGTGGGTCCCGCCCACCACATTCCTCCACCATCTTAACCACCTGATCAATTAGGTCAGCTAGCACCTCTGCCACCATGTCATCGACAGGCTCCTCCAGGGGCGTGGCTAGGCTGTGGATGGGTGGAGCCTGGATAAGGTCAGGTGCTTCCAAGGTGCTGGCGCCATCAGGATCATCAAAACTGCAGGCTCTGGAGGACTGGGAGCCAGAATCAGAGGTTTGGGGCTCCCCCTGGTGGTGGGGAAGGTGAAAGTCAGAGCCAAGCTGTAGGTTCTCGCTGCTAAAGCTAAGCACAGATAGACTGTCACTCAGTGGGTTCACAGTGAGGCTGAACGTCTCCATGTCTTCCAAAGGCGGGTCTCTGCCATGCCCAGGCCCCGCAATAGCACCATCTGCTGGCAGATTGTTGAATTCTGATTGGAAAAAGGGGAGAGTGACATTGTAAGAGCTGACAGAAGACAGAACCATGACTGTAAAGAACATGGGGGCGTCCGAGAGCATACTCACCGTCAGGACCCAGGTCCCTGATGTAGACCGGGTCGGCAGGCTGTGGGCAGCTGTGAGTCCAGTGCATCTGGGCCTGCACGCGCTGGATGGACACGCGGTGCGTCTTGGGGTGAAGCAGCAGCAGCAGCAGGGGCTCCAGGACGCGAGCAATGTCGTGCCTCTGCAGGACCTGGTTTAGCCAGGCCCGGCCCACGGCGCTGCTAGACCCGTCCCAGTAACTCAGACTGTCCAGCATGATGAACAGGGACCTGAACAAAAAGTGGGATTCCGGGTTAATGGCACATCAGTGCCACCTTGAGGCAGAATAGAGGAATTTCAAAGCCCCACAGCAACAATCGTCCATCTCTATAGTACTGAGTAGTAGCTCAGTATTATAAAGTGCAATCTTTACTTGGTGCATAGTCTACCTCGTCCTTCAAGCTGTGAACAGACTCACAGTGGGGTGGGGGCTCAGCAGGTTAGGCCTCTGTGCCTGTGATCAGAAGGTCACTGGTTTGAGCCCCAGCCTCAACAGAATAGTCATATTTCTGTGGGGCCCTTGAACAAAGCCCTTAACCCCCTGAAATGCTGAACAAATGGCACACATGCACACACACGCAAAGGAGAACAAGATGGGATATGTCAGCAGAAGCCTTCTAATGTAGCTGTACTCATACTTGGGCCAACTGTAAATAAAACATACCTCATTCTGGATACGACAGAAGATGCATAATAACAGCCAATAGCAGGTGTTGGTCAAAATGGCCAACCAACACTGGGGAAGCAGACTCAGGCCACACCCACCTGTCAAAAGTACGGTTGAAGGGTGAGGACTTGGTGATGTTCAGGTCTCTGGTCAGGTGCCAGAGTACAGAGAACTTCACATGGGCTTCTAGTCGGATCTCCTGTGGAGGTAGGAGGCAGATATTGTGAGCCAGGTCGCTGATGTGCAGCCTGTCTGTGTCTCTGTGACTCCCTCTGTCTGCGTCTCTGTGACTCCCCCGTGCCTGTCTCTGTGACTCCCCCCGTGCGCGTCTCTGTGACTCCCCCCGTGCGCGTGTCTCTGTGACTCCCACCGTGCGCGTGTCTCTGTGACTCCCACCGTGCGCGTGTCTCTGTGACTCCCCCTAAGTCACCTTGTCCCTGTGCATGAGCTGCTGGCTGATCACGTCCTCGCAGATGCTGGCTGAGGGCACCAGGTTGTGCAGCTGGTAGAAGAGCTCGACACTGCGCTGGTGGTGCTGGGGGCTTCCCTCCCCGAGCTGCTCCCACAGGATGAGGGCCACTCGCTGGGGGAGCACAGGGCCTCGTTTGTACACCTCATCACATTTTCATATTTACATACTCTTATTTTACAGATGCATTTGTCCGAAGCGACATACAAGCAAGGGTCATAGAGCAGGGACAGTGTCACTGGGCATGGATAGCACAGACCACACACACACAAACACACACGCACACAGACACGTTTTCATATTATTATGGGGACTCTCCATTCACTAACCCTAATCCCAACTATGACAACCTTAAACCCTACCCATTCCTGACCTTAACCATAAGTAACAAAATACAAGACTTTTGGCAATTTTAGTTTTTTGATTGCAATCATAGATTTTTATAAAATTGAGTTTCTCTTCAAATAACACGTTTTTATCACACTGTGGGGACATTTTGTCCCCATAATGTAATATATACATGACTACACACAGTGCGTCTGCAACATACCTTGAAAAAGTCTGTTTTCTCCGCTAAGAACTTCAGGATGCCCTGTGTAAGTGGCGGTCTGATCACCACGGCAACGCGGCCTTGGCTGGGACTCATAGGTTGTGTGACGTCCGGCCCGCCCACACTCTCGGCAGTCACCATGGCGACGGACTGCGTGAGGCCCACCAGATCCATGACCAGGGAAATGGCCACAGCCTGGATGCTAAAGTCTCCCCCGAAGTAGCAGGCGTCCATCAGTGTCTGCAGCCACAGCGGCAGCTGCGCATGCTCTCCGGCTGCAGGTAAGGCATTCACGCAGCAGAGAGTAAGAGGGGCTGCAGACAGAGGACTGTGTGCAGGTCGCTCCCGGCGACACATACCTGAATGCTCCTCCCACGAAGGTGATGACTTCATGTTGCCCTCGGCGATATAGACGGGAAAGCTGGAACACTCCAGGAAGAGTTGACACGCAGCACTGAAAGCCTCCAGCCTCGGCTGAGCCCCAGGGTTAGCCGGCCCACCACTCTGCAGCGCCCCCTCCTGGCCCAGCTCATCCTGCCCCAACTGCTCCAGTTTCACCTCCGGAACGATGTACAACTTTACCAGGCGTGTCAGGAACTGCTGGAAGCACTCCAGGCAGCCCTGCATGACGGGCGTGTCCTGGGGCTGGTTCTGGGCGGACCCAGTGCCGTCATGCCCCACCCTCGATGGGCTGCCCGTTTCCAAGGCGACGGGGTCGTCGGACCGCTCTGCCTGGTACTGGATGAAATCAGTGAAGCCGCTCTCCGAGGAACGACTGCTGGAAGCGTTCTCGTCCTCAAACACTTCAGGAGCCAGGGACTGCGGGACGGAGGGGGGGGCCTCAGTAACTGCACAGCCCTGGGAGAATGTGGGGGGGGGCGGGAGGTGGGTCAAAAGCAATTCAGAGAAAGGTCTCTCCACCTCCACCACTTAGCACCTTAGGACAGAGCATCCAAGGTCCTCCAGCCCAGCTAAGCAGTTACGCAGGGAGCAGTCTAATCTCTCTGGAGTGGTGAAGAGACCGTGAAGGTAAGAAAACGGACAGAGCGATGGGCACAGACCCCCAGGTCTAGGGTTTGTTGCAGTCATTACGCTTTAAGAGCAGCAGACCCCGCTGAGAACCAGGGGACAGCTGCAACATTCACGTACAGATGTCGTTATCAAGGGGAGCCGTCGCCTTAGATCTTCAGTTAGCAGCAGCCAGTGTGGACAGAGTGCGCCTCCATGGTTAAAACGACAGAGAGGGAAGCTTAGAGTTCTGTCCAGAGTGAGTGTTGGCAGAACAAAGGAAGCGTAGCAGTTAGCTAGAGGTGCTACCGATTCTATGCCCCATGAAAGCATATAATATTGGGCCCCCAACCTAGACCAATCCAATTATGTTCCAAATTGTTTGGAATCATCGTAACATCTCCCCCCCCCAACCCCGCCCTTACTGCACCCCTGCAATTAGCGAGTCAAAGGGAGAATTACAGCTCCCATTAGCTTTGGTCTTTAACTTGTTTTTAATTTCCATTTAATGATTGCTTTTTATTTGATCTTATTCTACGTAACACACTCTGAATGACGTCTGTGTTTGAAGATGTGCTATATAAATAACTTGCCATGCCGTGCCTTGGCAGGCTAAAGGGAACATTACAGTTAGCGAGCTAAAGGGAGCATTACAGTTAGCGAGCTAAAGGGAGCGTTACAGTTAGCGAGCTAAAGGGAGCCTTATTTACTCAGTCAAAGGGAGTGTCATGGTTAGCAAGCTAAAGGGAGCGTTACAGTTAGTGAGCTAAAGGGAGCGTTACAGTTAGCGAGGTAATGGGAGCGTCACAGTTAGCGAGCTAAAGGGAGCGTCACAGTTAGCGAGCTAAACGGAGCGTTACAGTTAGTGAGCTAAACGGAGCGTTACAGTTAGCGAGGTAATGGGAGCGTTACAGTTAGCGAGCTAAATGGAGCGTTACAGTTAGCGAGGTAATGGGAGCGTTACAGTTAGCGAGCTAAAGGGAGCGTTACAGTTAGCGAGGTAATGGGAGCGTTACAGTCAGCGAGCTAAAGGGAGCGTTACAGTTAGTGAGCTAAAGGGAGCGTTACAGTTAGTGAGCTAAAGGGAGCGTTACAGTTAGTGAGGTAATGGGAGCGTTACAGTTAGCCAGCCAAAGGGAGTGTCATGGTTAGCAAGCTAAAGGGAGCATTACAGTTGCTGAATGGGGAGTTAGCATCACACAGAGGTTTCCCCACAGGAAGCACGTGTCTCACCCGCTTGTCCTCCTTGTCCCGGGTGCTGGTGGGGGGTCGGGGGGCCCCGGTCACTGGTGACACCAGGGGTGGCTGCACCTTGCTGAGGATTTTGGAGCAGAGCCGAAGGCAGTGGGTGATTTCGCCCAGGTCCAGCGCCTGCAGGTTCGACGTCAATGCAGACACCATGCGTAGCAGCAGCTGTGGGAGGTGCTCCGTCTGAATCTCGATGTATGTTTCCTGTTGAGGGCGGAGCCATGGGGGTCAGGGGTCAGAGAGGCAGGCCAGGGGTCTCTTTGGTTCCTTACTGACTCCATGCGGCATAAATTTCAGCTTCTGGACTTACCTGATTACTTACCACACTGATACACACTTTTATACGGTACAGGAATATATTACATTGTTATTATTCTGAATTATATTTTAGTAACAATTATTGCACATGCAAAACAGATGCTTCCTGGGCCGTAATCGGTTTTGCCAAACCGGAGGGAGAACCGGCAGTCCCGCTGTCCTAAAGTCACCCACTGAGGTGACAAAGTGAAGATGGACCACAGGCCAGACAGCGTGAGAGGAGAGGGAGCAGGAAGAGGGGTACTTTACCTGGCAGATCACACGCATGCTTCTAGTGGGCTTGGAAAAGAGAGAAAGTAGAGGTGAACAGAGAGAAGCAAGCATAGTACAGACAGGCGGTCTCTGAGACTGATGTAGTACAGACAGGCGGTCTCTGAGACTGATGTAGTACAGACAGGCGGTCTCTAAGACAGGAAAAGTACAGACAGGCGGTCTCTGAGACTGATGTAGTACAGACAGGCGGTCTCTAAGACAGGAAAAGTACAGACAGGCGGTCTCCAAGACAGGCAAAGTACAGACAGGTGGTCTCCAAGACAGGCAAAGTACAGACAGGTGGTCTGTGAGATAGATGCAGTACAAACAAGAGGTCTCTGAGACAAACCAGACAGGATGACATATAAAATCACACAGAAAGGCTAGAGAGAGTACGCCTTTAAAACTACACAGTACAGACAGTGTAGTTTTAAAAACAGACCTTACAGACAGGCTGGCATCTTGTAGTGTTAAATAGAATTTAAAATAAAATGTGTTTCTTTATGGAAAGTCAGTTTTTCAGGAGTTAATGCCTTCGTGGGAATACTGGCACACCTATGCACAGCCGTGCACACAGAGAACTAACCTGGTAACATGGGTCACGGCAGAATAAAGCCGCGTGTGTCATGTATGTACATGCAGAGGATGTCGTGAAAAACTCACCAGGGAAACTATATCCAACAGGAAATCTACCAGCAGGCAGAACTCCAGCAGCAAAGGACACTGGTTCGGGGATCCCCCAGTATGGCCCGACTGGGAATTGTGAGTTTTCCTGAAGTGGGAGGCAGCAATCAGGGATGAGGCTTTGTATTACAGCTGGAATATGGG